AGCCATAAGACTGGTGATAACCACTTGAACCGCTGCTCACTGCGAAGTAGGGATTTGATTCCATCATTCTTGGTCTCTTTGAGCCGATCTCGTACCCGTCCGAAACCCCCCCGCTCCCCAACATTGCCCTTCAATTATTCATACCCAAAAAAAAGGAAAAATCCCCCACTCAACCTTGTTAATAAAACCAATCCCAACCCATATGTTTCCTACAACCTAGTTTCCAATACCACTTATGCTAAAAAGAATATCATAACATTACACATGCATCGCGAAAAACATAATAACAAATTACCACAGAAATGAACACAGTAAACAAGAGAGAGATTCTCGGGTCCAACACACAAACTTCTAAAAAAAAGGAAAGCTTTTCCATGAAAGGAATCTGTCCTTTTCTAGTTCAAAATCTCTAGCGACAAGCAAACTCATCCACATAATGCACATAACCAATTAACCACATCAATAGACCATTTTGAGCTCAAAAATCTTCCAGCTTACCGTCAAAAGGGGGAAAATCACCCAAAATCCTAAGGCAGAGGGAGTCTAACTATGTAACTTAAACTCTAAAAATCAGGAAATTCACATTGGTAGCACAAGACCCTAAAAAATGTGATAACGATGTGAACTTATAAGGTCAAAGATTTCATTTATGAGGTTCCTAAGTTGATAAAAAGTAAAGAGAATCATAATTTGCAAATTTTTAAAACTTTTCCGCAGCTCCCTACAAGTCTGATGACCTTAAGAACTGAAAAGTTCAAAGATTTTATTTTTATGATTCTTCTGTTAAGACGAGCAAAGAAAATCTTATTCTAACAAATTGTTATTACTCTATCAACAACACCCTAAGGTTCAGATGTCAAACACGGAATAAGCAACAGAGAGACACAAATATACCTTCACCTCACCCCACTCTTTGAAAACGGAAAAGAAAGAAAAGATCAAAGATTTCTCAAGCTTCCCATTCTACCCAATAAGGAAGCCTCAATTAGTGTTTACAGGCTTAAATCCAACAACCAATTAAGCCTCATTCCAAACTAGTTAGGGTGGAAGGTATCACAAATTCGGATCCAGGATTTAAACATTAAGGGTTCTAGTTCCGAATTCTTTCACAACCTATTTGATTTACCGGGTTCAAAGTCTAATATTTGTACTTCTTTAGTGAATTTTGTAACACACACCTTTTATAAGGTAGGGGGTAAGGTCTGTCTACACACTACCCTCCTCATACCCCACTTATGGGATTACACTGGGTTTTTTGTTGTTGTTGTTGTAACACATACAAATTCTGAGCCAAAGTTACTAGGTTCAGATGAACCCGTAATATTAGGGGTACATCCGCCTATCTTATGAATCTTATATATCCATTCTACTCTATTTGAGCTATTTAATTCTATAACAATAATTTGTCTTTTAAAGTAAGTGACATGATCAATCGCAGAATCAAGCAGTAGTCGAACAATTTAAGAAACGTGCATCAAATCAATATACAAGAAGGGGCAAAATCGCCTAAACAAAACAAAAATCCCAATTCATATCATCAGCAAAGCATTTAATTTATCACCAAAAGGGAATTAGGTAAACTTACCCTCTTGATCCGTACATGGCTCTGTGAATTTGGTTGAAAAAATCTGAAGCTGATTGGATGAGAATATGAAATTTCAACCTATTGACTCGATTTGAAGCTTCGATAATGAACCCTAGAGTGCCACCTTCGAAGGAACAACGCAGAGAAAATAATAGGGGAAACCCTAGCTAAGGTCCTAAGCGTAGATATATTACATTTACACGAGAGCCTATTGTGCGACTTAATTAAACGACGTCGTGACAAATTTCTGTTAGATAAAACGACATCGTCTTGAGCGACATGTAGCTTAAACAAGCATATACAGGATATTTCTTCGTAGAGAAACACCAAAAACAAAAGGGTCAAAGACATATAGCCCCCTAAAGTTGTCATATTTTTCATATGAACATCTCAATTGTGACTGATCACTATTGAGCCCTTGAAGTTAACAAATGTATGCTTATTACACCCTTCACTAACAATAGTTCAAAATAAAACTCGCAGCTAACTTGGAAAATGGACGAATAAAAAAGAAATGTTTACACAAATAGTCGGTCATATTGACTGTTTACCTTTTTAGTCATATACATATATTATACGCATCTAATACATAAATTATGCATATATTTATACATTCGTCGGCTAATTTTAATTTAGGGAAATTTTCGTTCTTATACTATATAGGAAACTATATTACCAAATATGTTCATAGTTTGCATATTACCCGCCATGCTAATAGTATTTCTATAATATATAGATAATTCATTAAATAAGGAATCATTGTAGCTGTAGGCTTCCTTATTTTTCTTCCTTCGTGGAGTTTGAAAGCTTCAAGCAAAATCAATTATCAAAAAACCTAGAGTCGCAAAACCACAAATGTTGTCGAGATTTCGAATTTCGTGGTGTAATTTGAAAAGTTTCAGAGTTATTTTTGCATAAACTAATCATTGCAAATTTCCAAAAACGTGTCAATGACACATGAATCACTAAGGTACTAAGTTTCTCTCGTTATCTCAGTTCACATATTAGCTGAGTTCTAATTTTGTTTTTCAACAGCTTAATTCTCTTTGACAAGTTAACTTCTTAGAAAACAAAAATGGGACGATCCCGCTTTATGTTTCATCATTTTTTCTGATTTCACAAATCAAAAACGACTTAATCTTCTACAATTCTTCTGCAACAAACGCAATTATGTTCAAAATCCCAATTATGCTACAACTGAATGGGAATTGGGATAGCTATGGGAGATTTAGAGAATTTCGAATTTGGATTTTCAAAAATCATTATTTGTTTGGATTGGGTGTTGTTGCAAATAATTGGGAATATGGTTTGGAGTTTATATCTCAATTTTGAGGGGTTTTGGTGAAGATTAGACTTGATTTTGGCTGAATTTCAGGTTGAAACTCGAAGAAGAAGAAGACATGACATACATTATATTGGAAAAATTGTAGACAAATTGTATTATGTTGTTTATTTATTTTTCTTTTATTCATTTAACTATTGTATGAAAGTTGAAAAAACAAAACCTTAGGATCATATCCGCTATGTATAACTGTTCGCGATTTCAATATGGAATTGAGTATCACCAATGAGAACACAGTTGCATGTTTGTGTTGTTACATTTTATATCAAATTCTGGTGGTATATAAATGTCCTACACTTTATCTACAAATAAACTACATTTCAGAGTAAATATATATATATATATATATATATATATATATATGGATTTTCACAATATCTACAAAATTTCTACATTTATTCTACAATAAAACTACATATCATTTGAAAAATTAATATGAAAATACAGAATTTCAATGTTTCTACAACTTATCTACAAAATTTCTACAAACTGTTCATAACAGAATTTATCTTTATTTTCATGCATGTTCGTCTGGAACACTAAAGTTACTTGATATGCCAACATCTCCCGTTATAGAGTAATACAACTTATCTACAATTTTCACACATTATTTTCACCCAGTTAAATACAACTACAATAACATAAAACTTATATACAAATTTTATGCAAAATTTATACAATATGTCTTTTGTATATTTTGTATCAGATTTATACATAGTAAAAATAAATTTCATACAACTAATTATATATTATACAACTTATCTATAATTTTTCTACAATTTCTGCAATATAATGTATGTCATGTCTTCTTCTTCTTCTTCGAGTTTCAATCTGAAATTCAGCCAAAACCAAGTCTAATCTTCACCAAAACTCCTCAAAATTGAGATATAAACTCCAAACCATATTCCCAATTATTTGCAACAACACCCAATCCAAACAAATAATGACTTTTGAAAACCCAAATTCGAATTCAAAGCTTCAAAGCTTTTTAATGGCTGTCAATGGTGGAATTGCTGCTCTCTTTTCCTTTCCTCTTATATTACTGAAATTTGGGATTGAGAGATAGAGACAGATGTAGAGAGAATTCTCAATTCTTTGCAACAACATCCAATCCAAACAAACAATGTCTTTTAAAAACCCAAATTCGAATTCAAAGCTCCAAAGCTTTTAGAAGAGGAAATCGTGGGTGATTGAAGAGAAAATCGTGGGTGTGGTTTGATACGTGAGTGAGGTGGTGGGATTTGGAGAGAGAAACTTGGGGGAGTGGGAATATACGGTTGAGTAAAATTAGGATACTAGTTAGTACATAAATGGTAATTAGGTAAATAGAAGGTAATTATATTAAAAGTTAAGCATGGAGGGTAATATAATTTACTATATGGCATAGGAATATAAAAATCTCTTTAATTTAAGCGATGGCTATTTGGAATTCTTCATTAAAAAAAAAAAAAGACACTACATTTTGAGCCCAAAAAATAAAAAGAAGATAAAAGGATTTTTAACAACAAATAAAAAATTAAAAAAATCGCCTCCAGATCGTCTTCTTTATCTCCCTCCACCTATATTGAGTATCGTCTTCACTTGATCTTATGTGTTTTGTGTCTATTTAGCATCACATACTCTACGTACCAAATTAAAAGATTTCACTCTCTGTTTTTTCATAATTATTTTTTATTTTTTGGCTTATTGAAGTTGTTCTCAACCTTTTATTTTTCGTATTATGAATACTAGTATTCGTACCCGCGCGTTGCGCGAAAAATATAAAATACAATATTTGAGAAAAAAAATATTATCTTGAATTTTTTACTGTTGAGCCTATACATTAACAATTAGAAGAAAGTATGAGATCAGCAAGAACAATGGTCGAGCTTTCATTTTATAATTTCTATTCTTGGCATCAACAATAGTAGCAGATGTCGTAATTATAAATATTAGTATAGAGTAATCAATAGCTCCAAAGGCTAACTCCTGTGTAGGGAAATACTTCAACTGCTACTCAATAATTAGACATAAATCATCTCCATGTCATAATGTATGGATATGTGAAGTATGCAGTCACATTCACCGCGACATTCATGACAATTGAGCCAATGCAGGCCTTAGCAAATTCTTTATCTTTGTTAGCACCGTAGAACAGATTTCTTCAGCACCAAACTGCTTCTCTTCATTCTTGTAGTTTACAACAATCATTATATTATCACCAGGTCCAGGAATAATCTTAATAGGCCATAATTTCATGTCACTTTCTGTACAGATGCATCACTAAACCTCCTGCCAATAAGCTGCTTTGCATCTGCCAATATAAATCACAATAAGAACTGCATAATAGAACTAAAATCATGTAAATACTGCATGGATTACAACACAAAACCTATGAAGTAGCAAATTACATGAAAAATACACAAGTTCCATTAAGAAAATAAGGACGACTCAATTACTGGGATATATGTATTTATAAATATGAGCAAAATGAAGCGTAGGACCTGAAACTCATATAACTTGTTCCTACAACGTATTTGATTTAAAAACCAGACTACTCTCTAGCAATGGATAAAGCATGCATTAAAATATTATATCCTTAAAGATAAAAATAGTTCCAAAATTCCCTTGACTTAGATTACAAAAAAAGAAAAAAGAAACGAATGGGTTACAAACGATAAAATTTGACATCACAAATCAGAAACAAACATATGTATACAGCTGGTGAGAAAAGGATTTAAATAATTCCCACATTGTTTCTTAGAAAATTTTATGTCAAGATCATCACAACTCTTCTTACACTAACCACAATCACGCAAAACACCAAAATATTATTTCATAAGGTGTACGCTTTAGGAACTAAGTAAAAAAAACAACAAAAACAAAATAGTTCAATTGAAGTGAATCAAAATTACTCAATAGATATGGACCTCATAACTGTTATCGATGATTCTTTCATCGCGACAATCAGAAATGTTGGTATTCACAAATTACTTGATTTCATGGGGTTGATCTTCACTTTGAGGCTAGCGGATTCAAATATCTTATAATGAGTCAATGATAATTAGATCTCCCTGTAAATGACATATTTAACAAAAATATATAATTGTACAAATAAAACATAAGAATAACTTTTAAAATATTTTTGTACCTTTCCAATCAAAAAAGGAAGTATTGTTGAATTTGTTACATAACCCACGCCTGTAACGATAGTAGCTAGCTTGCCAACCAAAAGTTGATCGTCTGTAAAAATGTTTTGGAGTAAAGTTCGGGAGGAATGCTAAGCAATGAAACTGAAGGGAGTAAATATCTTTTTTTTTTTTACATATGTGGCATATGCATGCAAGATATTATTTTTTTACACATAAGTGGCATGCATATGCACAATTAACAAACAAAATAGTGTCTCAAGGAATGGTTAAATGCATTTGAAACTCTCAGAAACATCATCTCATAGAGTATTCATTGGCACTCGCGCATATATTCCGTCTACCATTAAGTCTTTCCAGCTGTAAGATCAGATTACAATAGGATTACCAAATGGAGAAGGCCTCATAGAGTAACTTTGCTGAGAACTTGTTTGAGTAATTCGCTCATAGTTTAATTGACGTGCTGCAAGTAATTTGCATAAGTGTAAAACTGTAAGTTGTAAATAATATTATTATATTTTTAGTACATATAGAAAAGAATTATACATTTGATAAACCTGGATTTAAAGTAAATAGATTGCAGCAGAGTAGAATTTATCCATATTTTTATAGCATACCAATAGCTACGCACTGAGTAATTGCCTGTGTATCAAATGTACTGCTTATAATTATAAATTTGAAATTATAAAATATTTAGAATGTAAATTTTAAATATACATGTAATTACTGGTAAATCTCGAAATTTTTCAGCTTTCTTAAGTTGAAAAACAACAATCAAAGGTTCATATGTAGATCCATTCAAGTGATGTTGAATTTGATCCAAAAGTTCGCCCCATAAGGCAGCCGAAATCCTGCTCCTCCTATATGTCTCATGGTAAATGTTCATAAACGAAAAGATAGGTATTTTTATTGTAAAGTATTATTTCTATTTATGAATGACTTACTGACCATCTTCGAGTTCAACATTCATAAAGAAACTTTTGTTGTCTCCTTGCTTGTAAGTCTGAACAACTTCATAGGTCACAACTTGACCAACAACATCTATAAATATAAAAGTTAGTCACATAGTTTTACAAAATCTAATATTAGAACAAAAAGGAAAAGAAGAATTACCGAATAATTTCTGCCTCATCGACATCATGTTGATTTGTTAGTTGGTCAAAAGACCGCAAGTCAAAGATTTCCATATGAAATGAAGGATTAGTTGTTTCCTCAACATGTCTTTTGTGTAAATGTCAGCCTCAGATTGTGTATCGTAGTCTTTAATTTCGTATATAAGTCAAGTTTCTGTATATTACAACACATGGCATGAAAATGGAAATAAACATTATATGTGTTCTTATGATTATTTTGCTTTGTAAACATGTGTTCGTATGATACAACTTAAACATCATGGGCTATAGTAACACGATACAAATTGTGATAGACACTTCCTGCTTGACTTAGTCATTGAATGATTACATAAGTATCCTTTTCTAGTATGTGATTTGATAAAAATTATGAGACTTTTAGTTAAGCACTAAGGAAACAACTCATCATGCTACACAGATACAATCAAGAGCATATTAGCAGGCTATTTCCGGAAAATATACTGTGCAAATAAAATTTATATCGGTTATAAAAATATTTAGTTGCTACAGTTCGTTCCATATCAAAGAACTCTTTAAATAGAATCGGAATAACCGGAGCAACTTCGTATACAGTTGATGCTATGGGGATCAAAGAAATTTCATATAAATCGTAGCAAGTAGTTTAGTGATACTGGAAAAAATATTGACTTTTCTATAATTTATACAGAATTGTTAATCCTACTATCAAAAACAGAAACAGAAATACTACATAAAAGCGGTACTATAAACTATGTGAAAGTTAAATATGTTACCTTTGAATCCTGTAAAACCAATTTTATGGAATATGATATTTCAGGCTTGAATCGATCCGGGATTTCAAACATTCAAATGACTCTAACTGTGAGATGCTTGAAATTTGTGTGATTTCATGAACTTGTGTAGCCATATTTGTAAAGCTGTTGTAGTAATCAGACTGGTACAGTGAGTAGATAAATTTGGGATTTGAAAAGGATTTGAAACAATAAAGCCATAAATCAATAGTTATGAAGGTGTAGATAAAATAGGGTTTTTTGGTGGTTTGGAGCACGATCAGTCATCCTCCAATTGTTTTTTTTCCTTTTTCTTTATAAAAATAATTTGTAAATTTGAGTGTGCAGTTGTTTATTAAAAAACTGCCAACAAAAAAGTGGGAGGATAACTGCAGAACGTGGGAGGAAACATTCAATTCTTTAGGAATTTGTTGGTTGCAAGTTTATTTCCATGATTTGTATTTTAAATTAATTTTAAACTCCAACTATCTTGGAGATGTGTCCTAAAATTTGACATGTGTTGAATTGTGGGTAATCCACTTGGCATTCTCTTATTGTTTTGCTTTTGTTATTCTATATAGATAGATATTTCACCTTCTTTCTCTCTCTCTCTCTCTCTCTCTCTCTCTCTCTCTCTCTCTCTCTCTCTCTCTCAAACCAAGGGCACAGACCTCCCAAAATAAGCCAATTAATAACTAAGTGAAGACTCAGATTTCTAGGAAACTTAACATAAGGCATGTAGAGTGACAAAACTTAACAGATGTCTGGTGCACAAAAAGAATGGTGTTTAATAGCCACCAGAAGATTATACCAGAGAACAGTAAAATCTTGGAGCAGTTCAGAAAGATTCTTACAGTTTGAGTACTCAATTCATATCCTGAAACTGGTGATTCCATGTTAAGACTTGATATTTCAAAGAACCAATCTGGAACATAGAGGCCATACAGCAAAATAAGGTAAGATAAACCAATTAAGGTTCCAGCCACCCTGCATATTGAGAAGTATATTAGCAGAAAAAGAAGGAAAAGCTTCTCAAAATAAGTGGCATTATCATGTACAGAAAACTTTGTGGCTAGTTTAATCTTCTTCATAAATTTACAATTTTTTAATTGGCATAAAGGTGTAATTAATCAGATTTGGGATCTCATTATTCCTTATAGCTACTATGAAAAATTTTACTATTGCGTGGACCCATATATCTGGACAAGCAAAAAGCTAAAGGTCATCATGTACTGGACCATGTATGTCTCAGGAAAAAATATCCACTGAAAAGCTAAACAGGCAAAACTAAAGAAAGGAGATTTTGATTTGACTGATCTGGTCAAAGGATTGCTATATAAGAACTAAAAAGTAAAATGAACATAGGAAGATAACAAATGCCAACCAGCAGTATTTCCCTATAACTGATGGATAGCCATTTGAATCACTATAGTGTTGTTGTGCACTTCATGAAGTCCTTGGAGTATCATAGATCTTTTCCCGCAAGAACAAGTGATATCATTTACAGATTCTCAAGAGTACTAGTTCATCCACAAACGTATGGATAAATATTCTGCTGCAACTACAAAATTTTGAGCACTACAAAAATCTTGAACAGACACGTGTGATATTCTCGACCAAGGAAGACACTGATTAAGAAAAACAAACAATTCAACCATGTGCATCACCAACAAAAAATATTAAAATAAACCATGAACGAACCAAGCAGCACATGATCCATAATCTCAAGAGGTATACTTACGCTTGAAAGAAGTATCTCCTGACGAATGCCTTTGCTGAATCAACAGGATAATCATTGGCAAGCCAAATTTCCAGAATTGAAGCAAATAGATAACCAATAGAAATTCTCTACAGCAGAAAAGCACATAGAGTAATGCTCGGATATAAAGGAACTTGAAATACAGATAACAATAAAGGTTTTAATCTACCTAAGGGCGTAGAAGACAGCCTGGGATTATACGAGTAAAGAAAAAAATCAATTAAGGAACACAAGCCATTGTCAGATAAAGTACCTGTAACACTCCCATCCATCTAATTCTAGCAATATCAACTCCATAACTCAGGTTGTCGCGCCCATGGAAATACCCACCTAAGAATGAGTAATCATGGATTCAATGACTTGTAACATATGTGAGTTTAAATGCAGTTGAGGGAAAAATTTACAAAAGGAAGCCTTTTAAATTTTCCAAAATATCTAATATCTAATAACAACAAAAGCTCATGATGGAAAATTTTCAGTTCATGTAGGAGAGAAGCAATTGAGCCGTTTTTCCTCCAGGTGTTACCTCACTGCACATTTCCTCCTTATGTTTTGTCAAAACAATAAGTCAGAACTTTAATTTTGACGAAGTCAGCAAAAGGTTCCATTTACAAGCAACTCTCTGATATTCAGTAATATATGGGCTTGATAATCAATAATATGTGGACTCTGAAACAAAAGAATCCATGGCCTATTGAAAGTATAGCTATACAATTTCCTAATACCATCCAAATAGATGATCCTAGTTTGAATAAGGCCACCATGGTTGATTGTTGTACAGCGTGCACCCATCACCACAACGGAAGCTTGGTTTCAGACAACAATGACTTCAACCTCACATCTAAAAATTCGTTTGATTATTTTTTTTATCCTCACTTTTATGTCAAATAAATGAGGCTTTGATTATTTAGACCTTGAAGTTTCGTATGTACTATGTTTTGTGCTAAGAGAAAGAGTTCATTTCAAATTGGTGGGTTTTTAAACAAATCAAGCTTTGCGTTTAGCTAGCCCGCCTTGGGCCTCGATTTGTAAACAGAGGGTCTGATTAAGCAAACAACATAACAACAAATTGTAATGAGTCAAATCATAGGTTGTTGTTTATAAGTTGATCCTAAATTCTGAGCAAGCTCGGCTCTTTTGCAAGTATAGTTGAGACAACAAGATTTCTGTATTTTTTTCAACATGGTAAGTAGGAAGAGCTTATAATGAACAGGGATTTTACTTTGATAATGGTGGTGTCCCGGCTATCTTGCACTCACCTAGACAATTCCACCGAGTACCTGCTACCTCCCACCAGCACAGGTACCAAGTAGCTCTGGCGCACCAAGGATTACACAAATGGGAATAAATCACCTAGCTTTTTTTGACTTTCCTGGAATCTGAACCCTAGACTCCAAGAATTTCACCCACTTCATTGAACTCTAGGTCACACTCTTGGGTGCACTGTTTTACTTTTTATTTTTTGATAAGGAGGAAATGAAGGCAGAGCATCACAAATTACACTTAAGTGTTAATCCCTCCCTCCCTCGTTGTGAGGTGCTCAGCAAATCGCATACCTTGAAGGAACACTCCCAAAATAAAGAGCTTAACTGTCCTCAGTAAGACTTTCTTTGTAGCTTGTGGTTTGCTGGAAACTTTCTGCATCAACAATGGATTCTCGTCACTGTTGGAATCGAAAAAATTGGATTACCTAACAAAAAAGCATGATGAGTGGTACCTTGAATACTAGACTTGCAGAAACACCAACAATAAAGAGGAAAAAGGGCATCACAAAGTCGGCAAGGGTCACTCCAAACCACGGGGAGTGGTTTATGGATGGGAAAGCCTTTCCAACATCATCAACCAAAATCATCAACTGTCAAATAAACCACATAAAAGAAAACTAAGGTGAGGAAGAAAGGAGACTAATGTAAGTCAAATAACAAAGAGAATAGACCACATGAAATCGCAGAAGACACACATAATTAACAGAAAAGACCAACAGAAAGGACAAGTTTATAATACATCCTAGAATCAGAAACACACTTATTCAAAATTTTCAATTCCGTTGTTTCATTGCTCCATTAACCCTACTGGAAGACAACTGCAAAATTGCATTTTAGCACTAGAGAAGGTTGCATTTTGCATTAGTATTACTTGTTGACTTAGGAAATAAACAGCATCAGTGAAGACAAAAGAGCACAGAGAAGATATTTTCAGCTACAAAAAAAAGAGTAGCTTAGAATTTCATATCAACATTTCATTAGGATTGTAAGTTGCTGGTTTGCGCAATTAAGCCCAATTCAGAAGGCGAAATCACAGAAGAAAAATAACAAATTTTGATATAGGGGCTTTGCAGGAAAAGCTGTAACCAAAGTGTTTCTTTCATGTTCATAGAGAAGTTAAACTGCAAACGCATGCAAAACTAGTCAAATACAATTAAGTTCTAGCAAAGGCGGAGATACAGTCAGTTCGAAAAGCAACAAAAAAAACCATACAGCGACGGTAAGGCCTCTAAAGACATCGAGAGAGAGCAAACGTTGTTTGGGAGTAGGTTTTGATCCGGCCGGCTCGGAGACTATTTCTCCATCTGTGGCGTGCGAGTGCGATAATATTAATTCAGGCGAAGAATTGGAAAGAAGAAGCGGAGCTCGTTCGCCGGAATCTGTGACCACCGTAAGCGGCTGCGAGGACATCTCGACAGAGTTAGAATTTATTTAGCGTTGACTATATCCACGTGGACTAGTTTTCCCTGCTACTGCAACTCCCAACGTTTATACTTTCTCTAATCAGTAAACTATACAAATGTACTTTAACTTTTGCTATATTCCGTTTCCGAATATTTGCGCCATAAGGCTTTTCTCGAGACCATTCCACCACCCCCCACCCACGTTCAGTGGGTTAAAGAAAATTATTTGCGCTAATGCCTTGTCTGATTGTTACTTTGTTAGACTTAACATTTTTTTTTCCCACCCCCCTCCCCCTAAAGACAACATGAATTGTGAAAAAATGTAAGATTCATTTTTTAATAGTCGTTTATTTTTTGTCGTCTAGTGTAGTTTATCACAGTATAGTTTTTGCTAATAATTTTTAAACATATATATAGTGTCTTGCGTAGCTTTTTATGTTGTGATTTTTGGAATTTGTTGAGACTTTCCTGGTATTTTTTATCAAATTATTTGTTTACCATTCTCATTAAATTTAACTAGCAAAGTTTGTTACATATTTAACGAAGATCAAAGGTGATCACTTTCGGAATTTTAGAGAATCAAAATTACTCAAGAATATATTTAAGAGATCATTTTAGATTACTCCCAAACGTAAGGGACCATTTTTATCATTCTCAGTTTCTACCCAGTGCCTCCATCATTCTATTCTTCCAAGTTGAGGATTGCACATACTCCAACTTGAGGGGGGTGTTTAGGAGAGTATTTATTGTACTCATAGCTCTATTAATTGTACATATTCATTGGAGATACATCACTGTCGCAGGTTTTTCATATGGTATATGTAAGCACATCTACGTGTATTAGCTGCCGGATGAATGATATGTTGTCTAATACAGTTGATCTTCGCTCTCTATCCCAACTTCCCGCCTTTTAACTGAGCTTTATCCATCAAGTTTTCACAATAGACTGTAATTTTTACAAATAAATAACTTTAAAGGTTAAAAAAACTATTTGATACTAGTAAAAGATACTCGGTACTAATAGAGTTCAATACAAAATGAGGCAGAACTCTTTAGTGCAAATTAGTCCAATCAACAACTCATTAATCATCATTCGTCTCATAATACGGAAACGAACTTTCCAAGAGACCTAAACAATTGCCCGATATAGGTTAGACAGTGGGGTTATTCAAAGGCAAAAGGTTTGACCTTTCTTCCAGTTTGACATAGCGGTAAATATTCAACCTCCTTTTATCAGTTGTTTTCCCGAGTTAACTTTCGTTCATTTGGTAAAAGCTACAAATCGAGAAAATGAATTACTACCTGTTATCCTTCTAACTTATTTTCACGAGTCTATCTTTCAAATAACATTACAAAACCCTATTCACTTCAATAGCAATAGGGCTGATGGCGTGGGAGTTTCTCTCGTTCTCTTCATACAGCAAAGAACAAACAGATTAAAGCTTCCACTTCTCATGGACGTGGATTGGAAAGGCAAACAAAAAGCAATCCAATCTAAAATAGCTCCAGTCTCCCTGAACCATCTACGAGCTCGGTTAACTTTTGTGAAGCAGCAGCTAATGTCTCCTCACTTTTGCAGAACGCAAATCTGATATACCTCCTGTGGTAACTAATAGCAGTCGAAGAAAAGTCCTCTAACGATGACGAATTGGTGTGGAAGAATACACGGCCTGGTACAGCCACCACCCCAGCTTGTTTAATCAATTCCTCCACAAATTCAACCTGGAATGCCTTGAGTTTATCACTACCACAATTTAAACATATAAAGAACGCCAAAATAAAATGCTTTGTCAAGTTCTTACAGGCCACACTGAGACGTAAAAACTTTATCCAAAGTATGAACCTATTGTTGGTACAACCGGCCGGCAATAATCACTCAATGTACATGTATATTAAAGTTCTATATATGCTTTCAAATAAAGTTCTAAACTTTGATTATCAGGCAAATGATCAACTAACCCAACTTAAGCTTCTCTAAAAAATAAAAAAGCGCCAAAAATTAAGTAGAATCGTCATGCAAGCAGGATCATCCGATGTTTGACTGTTGTTCACACAAGCAGAGGTCAAGACATAAGCAAGTGGAAAAGTCTGGTAAATAAACTGATATTATGGAGCCAAATACACTTTGAGTTCAGAATCCGCTAATTTTGTACTACTCCATAAGTAAAGATTAAGATCCTCTTAGGTGGACACTCTTAGGTGGAGAAATTTCAAGTAGCATTTCTGGGTTGAGCTAAGTTTCAAATCTTAACAAAGTACAATCCTATCACCCTTCCTTCTCTTCCTCCAAACCTCCCCCTCGTGTCAAAAAGAAAGAAGGATGTAAAAGAGAAGGTTTCTCTTTCCTTTTGAAGCTTTTGATACCAATTAAATAGGACAGTCCTAATGTAAGAATTTATATGAGGGAAAATAGGTATTCGTGCTTGAGATGATAATTGAAGAAAAATGTTTGGTGAGTATTTACATCAGAAAGAGTGCATGTCCCAGGAAGCTCCATGAATAGGAAAAAGGAACCCTTAGGCATGAAGGGCACCTGGAAACCAATTTTTGTAAGCACCTGAGTCAAGTAATCTCTTTTTGATTCATAGTCCTGAGCACCAAAAGATGTGAAAATAGATTAACTGATAAGTCGAAAAAAGACACCAGTAGATCTACTAATTGCGAGGAAATTTACTTGTCTCAATGCATCAAAGTATTCCGGGGAACTTCTCAAAGCTGTCAAGGCAGCTTCCTGGAAAGGTGCTGGAGCAGAATCTGTAATTTTAACATGGATGTTCCTCATTGCAGATGCGAAGCAAGCCGGGCCAATCGCCCAGCCAATCCTCCAACCTGAGAAAGCATGAAGTTAAATGAGAATTTAATATATCAACCTACTTCGGAGAGGTAGGAACGACTTAAACATGCTGGCACAGGAAGCAAGATATCAAATGTTTACCAGTCACACTAAAACTTTTTGACAAGGAAGATGTGATGATGGTCCGCTTCTGCATTCCTGGAAATGTGGCAATTGATGTATGTCTCTCCCCGTCGAAGGTTATATGCTCATATACCTACAGAGAAATATAAAGTGAACTTCCAAGTTGGATATGTCTGGTTCCAGATCCAGGTATACTTTTAATCTATAAATACTCCACAATCTTATCTTACACGCAAAGGGCATCAGTCAAGGGATAGTATGCCTACCTAAAAGCAAAGCAAAAGCAAGGTTGAAGAAACATGCCTATTAAGGCAAAAAGGGTAAAAAAAAACATCTTCCTATTTTCATACATGCATGATCATGAAGTTCTGAAAGCTTCTATAGATACTTCACCAAAAGTTTTTTAGGTTTTAAAGAGTTAGCACTGCAAATTGCATCTCTTTTTTACACGGTGGAGTAGTAAATATAAAATGCATTCTGCTGATTAGCTTGAACTGAATATACATATGTCGTTGCTTTTTTTTTTTCTCTATTTGAAAAGAACAAGAAGATGTGGTAAAGTGCAGCAAATTAAACCTCGTCTGTTACAGCTAGAATATCCAAGGTTCGGCAAGCTCCAGCAATAATCTCAAGCTCATCTTTAGAGAAAACCTTTCCAGTTGGATTGTGAGGGCTGCACCACTTTGTATCAGAACATTCAATTCCAATGCTAAAATTGATTATCAGTTTAAAATATTCTTCATATAGCATGTTGTAAACTATATGTGCAGGTACAAAACTGAACCTTCTCAATTATTGGTTTGACTAAAATAAGGAAAAGCTTATGTTTCCTGCAACAGAACATCAGTTAATGAAAATCTAAACATCTTTTGCACAACAGTACAGTGATATCTGAACGATCAAGCGTGTCAACCTGGGGTGCATTGCAACAAAACTGTCCCATTGGTGTCTATAGCTCCATTTGTATATTTAGTTATCTGCATTGCTTTCTCTCCGATTAATCTTATGTCAAGACTGATTGCAGCAACAGAATAATTTCACATCATAGATCAAAGTATACATTCTGAGGTGACACTTATAAAAGTACAAGGAAGCATTCCTTTTTAACCAAAACCGATGTTCAATACTTAAGTCAATGAAGTCATTAGCTTTCATGTGGACATTTAATCTCTAAAGGCTTTCTCTATATTGTTCTCAAAGCTTAATACAGGAGGACTAACAACTTCCTGGACTTGGCCAGAATGTAGACAAAAGGGCACAATAATAATAATAACCCAGTATAATCCCACTTAGTGGGGTCTGGGGAGGGTAGTGTGTACGCAGACCTTACCCTAGGGTAGAGAGGCTGTTTTCCAAATAGACCCCCGGCATCCTTCCCTCCAAGAACTTCCCACATTGCTCTTGGGGAGACTCGAACTCACAACCTCTTGGTTGGAAGTGGGGGTTGCTTACCATCAGAGCAACCCCTCTTGTCAAAAAAATAAAAGGGCACAAGTCCATAAGAATTAGTTGCAGAAGTTTATGGAGTTCCGCTTAACTTGGTAGCATACTCCACTCTGTATGTCAACCCATTCAAGAATTGTCTCATGTTGAATTGGAAACTTTTCTGTTTTACCTGTTGAGGACTATAGCTTTTGTCCTGCCAGTAAATGACTTTGCGAGTTTATCTGGATCCAGACTCCAATGAGGGGGGTCAAGGGCTACATACACCTGTCCATTTTTCCGCAGGAGAAATAGAACTTATCAATCTAGATGTGACAAAACCTGCATGGTATGATTAGTCGTTACGTATAAAAGCATAGTTATGAAAGGCTTACTGGGACTCCACCAGCCAACCTAATGCATGTTTCATATGTTTCATAGGACGGATCGAATAAGATGACTTCATCACCCTGATTAATTACTGAACAAAGAAAACAGAAACATGATCTCTGCATATATTTCTCATAAGACCGGAATTGCAGGAGTTAATTACTACTATTGACTTTTGTAAAGAAAAATCATACTTGCAAACATTGCCGCAGCAAAAGCCTCAGATTGGCCACAACATACGACAATATCAGTGAGAGGATCGACATCTAGGCCATGCATTTGTTTGACTTGATTAGCCACGTAATCACATATTCCCTGAACATGCCTGCAATTCAGTGAATTATTAAAGATAGTTAGCAGGCTAGGGGAAAGAATAGAAAGGAAAAGAAATTAAGGAATAAACCTGTACTGATTGAAGTCGGAGCGGATAGCGGAAATGGCAGCGTCTTTGAGGTAGGAAGGAGCAGGGAAATCAGGGAAACCTTCAGCAAGGTTGATGGCATTACATCTTTCGGCGAGATACGAGAGTTGCTGTATGGGTGACGATGTTAGCCTTTTCGCTACTGAAGAGAGCTTCTGCTCCATATCCAAGCGGAAGCCTTATCCACAAAAGGAGATTTACTAACTTGCCACAATTGTTTGAAATTGTCATTTTACAGTTAAGATGTTTTATAGCGCCTCGATTTTTAGTGACGTGGCATTGGATACATCCTTTTATCTTTCCTTTTGCCGCCGAATTCGAACCGCTTGTGCTGGCTTCGGACGGCAAAGTCACTAGTCGACAACCCCCATTTAAATTGGCAATAACTTAAGAAGATAAAACTTGTAGCGTTACTTCCATAAAAATTAAAGACTTCTTCACTATTTAAGTATTCTTCTAGAGATAAAAACAACTCGTTCGTGTAAAATTAATTGATATTTGAAGCATAGTTTCTATTGGTTGTCACGAAATTTGGCGTTAACATATTGTACACGGATTGCCATTTAATCGAGACCAGGGAATCACATCGAGGGTCAGCCTCGTAATGGATCAGGCCAGAGCACGAAGACAGAGTATCGAGCTCGAGAATCGAGATTCCCGCCGAGATCGAGGCTATCAGCAATCGAGACCAAATACGACCGACTTCGAGCGAAGCGCGATAACAGAAGGGCGAAATATCCGTAACCGGTCGGAGATCACGCGAAAATCCCGGAACAGATCAAATCAAGGGCGATTATTAGGCACATCATGTGATTTACTTCTATAATTAGAGTTATACCATAATTGGGATTACACTACTATATAAAGGGGATTCCCCATCATTTGTAAGCACCTTACATTCACACATATCAAAGTAATACAATATTCTCTCTTTAATTTACATTCTCTCGTTCAACAGTCCGCTACTTTTTAACTATTCTTGTTCTACTAGCTCGAGGGTTTCCCAACTCGAGGGCTTTGTTCAAATACTGGTTTGCGTTACGTTATTGTCAATTTTCATTGTCTATCTTTACGTTTCTCAATTGGTATTAAGCGAAATCACATATCCTTAGAACCACATAACAAATTTAATTGTTATCCAATTTTTAAGGTAAACAGTTTGGCGCCCACCGTGGGGCCAAGGATAATAGTGATTACTTAGTATTGATCCTCATAACATACACTGCTTTTACGCTTGTTCTCGTAAGTGTTTTTGATTTAAGGAATCAACATGTCAAATTCTCAAGTAGCACCCACACATACGGACAACAGCCTTGGTCTTCAGGGCGAAAACGAGAATGTAGCCGCCCCGGGAAACGGAGTACCTCCAGTCAACCCCGATGGACCACCAGTCGTTAACCCAATCGACATCGGTTCCCGTATTGCCGTTGACATAAATTTGGGCGTCGATCTCGAAAATAACGTTCGCAGAGATGATCGAGCGGCCGATCAGAACGCACAGAGTGATGAAGAAGGCAGAATTAACCTTCAAATGATATTTAAAATGTTGCAAACTCAGCAAGCTGCGATAGCACAACTCCAAAATCAGAATCGAGCACCAAGCAGAATTGAGCTCGACATATCACAGGAAGTTGTTCACAGGATCAAACCTATACTGGAGAAATCAAACGATAATGGATCGGGAATGGATCGAATCAGGAGAAAAGAAATTCGAGGCTAATGATAAAAAGGTAGAGACATACAACTACGCGTTGATCAAATACCGGGGGCACCCCCGATTCTAAAGGGTTTAAAATTCAAAGAAGTTTGTACAGAAGCCTTTTCCACCAAGTGCGGCTCTGAAGCCCATTCCAAAGAAGTTCCGCATGCCAGAAATTGCCAAATACAATGGAACTACTGACCCTAATGAGCATGTCACTTCTTATACATGCGCAATAAAAGGAAGTTATTCAAAAGATGATGAAATTGAATCTGTTCTGTTGAAAAAGTTTGGAGAAAATTTATCGAAGGGAGCAATGATATGGTACCATAATTTGCCACCTAATTCCATCGATTCTTTCGACATGCTTGCTGATTCATTCGTAAAGGCACACGCCGGAGCAATAAAGGACGCAACTAAAAAATCGGACCTCTTCAAAGTGAGACAAAGGGACAATGAAATGCTAAGGGAATTTGTATCTCGGTCCAGATGGAACGCACGGACCTACCACCGGTCACTGATGATTGGGCTATCCAAGCCTTCACTCAAGGTTTGAACGAGCGAAGTTCGATAACATCACGACAACTAAAGCAAAATTTGATTGAATATCCAGCTGTGACTTGGGACGATGTACATAATCGGTAGTAGTCAAAGATCAGAGTCGAGGATGATCAGTTAGGAGCCCCCTCTGGTTCCGCTTATCCAAATAGACCCAAAGGTAGAGTTCAAAGAGACATCGATAGAGAGCCCCGATCAAATAGAGATCGGTACCAACCTTACAACGCTGATCATAGAAATAACAGACTAGGACGCAACCCCGTTCGAAATGATCTGAGGAATGATCGAGGATAAAGCTCTCGAGGGCTCATTGTCGCGCCCCCTTTTTTCCATCTTTGCAGCGGAAGTCAGGGTTTCGACATTCATTTGGGACAACTCGTTTCCTTTTGGGAAAAGGGTAAAGAAGTTGAAGAGTCGCCACCTAAAGGATTTAAGGTTCGTTAGGGCACCTATTGCAAGTAACTCATAAAATCGGTTTGTGTTACCAGAGATTGGGTAAGGACTTGAAATTACCTTGAGGAGAAGGTGTTAGGCACCCCTCGAGGTCCACAACGGTGGGTCCCGGCCAAACTCATTTTGTGAATTAGTCATTTAACAGATAGGCAGTTTAAGCACACATATAAGATATAGGAAATTAACAGATAAGCAGTCTAAGCACACATATGTAAATATGATGAGGGAAGTCCTAGCACCCTTCTGGGTCAATCTGGTCATCGGGGCTGCAATAGATGAAAATCCCTCCACGAACCGTCTGTAGTAGCCTGCCAACCCCAAGAAACTCTGAATCTCTGTAGCTGATGCTGGTCTAAGCCAGTTCTTGACTGCCTCTATCTTCTTTGGGTCCACCTGAATACCCTCAGTTGATACAACGTGACCCAGAAATGCAACTGAACCCAACCAGAATTCACACTTCGAGAACTTAGCATATAACTGACTATCCCTCAGAGTCTGAAGAACCACTCTGAGGTGCTGCTCGTGCTCCTCCTGGCTGCGGGAGTATATCAATATATCATCAATGTTTGTTAGCCTATAGGATCACATCTGTAAAATACCCAGTAATCCTTCCTTAACTAGAGGGGCTACACGTGGTATTAGCGCACAGATCATCATATCCTTTTACTACCCAATTACCCTCCCCTTAGCGGTTATATAAGCGGTTTTAATTAGACGAACTCTATGCGTGCATTACCCGTCCCTTCCTTGTGGTCCCGGAGGTGTTTAGGACCTCTAATTTTAGGCAGTTCAAGACTCTCCTAAGGTGTTTAAAAGGGAAAATGTAAGCGACAACAAAGAACAAACAGGACTGTCAAGTAAGAAACAATTAAGGGGGCTCATGTTTACCTCCACAAATAAACAGACAATTAGCACGTCTCAAACAACGGATTTCAGATATTTCAGAAAGGTCCTAGAACAGGATATCTAGGTGAGCATGAGAAGCAGAGAATATGCAGCATTGTGTTAAGGCGAAGCGATAGAGACCTAATCAATTTGCTTACTGATTTTAGAACCTGTTGAATCTGGGCAGTCACAAATAAGCAAAGCATAGTTTCATAGTTTTTATTAGACCTTGATTACCTATAGGCTTGCCTAGGCGTGGATCTGTAATACCTTATAAACATGTTGTCTAAATGCAATCAGAATTTTGGAAATCAGTTTAAAACAGTTTGGATTTATTAAGTCCTATAGGCGTGCTGGTCTAGGTGTTGAATATTACATTACGGAACTGGTTTATACACACTTATCTCTATGACATCTAAGTGTTTGGATTGTTCTTAAACATTTTATAGACAAGATAGTTATTGATTTAAGTGATGTAGACATGGTTTAAAGTGAATACAAATACAATCCTAAGGCAGGATCTCTAATGCACAGAAAGAATGGACGTTTTTATTAGGCGAAATTATGCAGTAACTTAATAACAAGATTTCTAGATGATCATGATTATGCAGAAACAGAATTTCGTAACAAATGAGGTAGTGTGCCTATAACATGTTGTCCAGTATGCCAAGTGATCCTAAAAGCATGGTTTCTAATGCAGGTAAACATAGTATAAACCTAAAGTATGATTTCTAATGCAAGTAAACATAATATAGACCTAAAGGCATGATTTCTACCCGGTTCCCCACAAAAATCATATAAGAATTCCCCCTTTTACTAATTTCTCCAATATCTGTTTACGAAGATCATCATTACAGACCATAAGTGAATGAATTACATAATAAATATAAGCTATGCAATAGGGAGCCTGAAATAGGCCCAAAGGGAACCTGGAAGTACCATGCCTTCAAAACAGTCCAAGATGTCATAGTCCATAGTATCCAATGAGGTATCCTGGTGCGTCAAAGTTCCCAAGGGCCTCAAGGACCCCGGGAAATGCCCACACCAAGATCCTTATAAATAGAGCAGTAGTTATGTGCAGTGTGGAAGGGCCAGCCCCAGTGTGCCAGAGTTCGGAAAAATCTCAGAAATGGATTCCTAGGCAGTACACACACTGGAGGGGCAGAACTTAAATAGTCTAACAGTAGAAGTGAGAGTGCTTGACATAGTTGGAAGCACTTACTAAAAACAGTATAAAGGTCAAATTTTTAGGAGTGAAAAGGTATTTCAGGAATGGAAACAGTTTTAAGAAAAAAATGTTAAGAGTGAAACAGTTTTGGAAGAAATTCTGAGAAGAACAAAGATTCAACAAATAACCACACAATCACAAAAACTTAGAGTGCCCAGATTCAAAGCCATTTATTACTTAATTTTAAGTGAAGACAAACAAGTTTACAAACAGGGATCAGGGGGTTGGGAACATAGGGAGCATAAATCAGAAACACATGAACATGGATAAGAGGGGAAGCATATTGATCACCAAGTACACAGAACAAGCAGGGATTGATTGACAACCAGTGACCAAATTCATAGCATTAGAATACAAACTACTGATTCAGAGTATTAACAAGGAAATTATACTTAAAGCTAAAG